CAATTATTTTCTGAGGCGAAGATATGTAAAGGTTTTCCTTGCGTTCGCGATGCAATTTCATATTGACTAAATGGCGTAAGCTAAGCCCATTGGCAGATTTCTGAAATTTACAATAATATTAGGTGTTCGCCTTTACGCTTAACTATATTATTTATCACTTACCTCACTTGAACTAGAATTAGGTGTGTCCTTTAAGGGACTTTGACGGCGCATTTTTACAGTATCACAACTATTTGGATAATAGGACGGTACTTTGTCATCAATACTTATAATAGATTTGCGTGGGGTTTGATAATAATTTTCCTCTTCGGCCATAACCGGTGTGATTTCTGGCGTAGTCTGCGTTAACGGTGAGTCAGTGGGTGTGCTCGTGCTTAAACCAGTTGAAGGTTGCTCTAATTCTTGAGCTGCTTTTACCGTAAGCAAGTTCTCATACAGATTTTTGGTGAAATCTACACTTAAATTTGGCGAGTTGGTTAATGACAGCGCATTCGAGTTAGTGGAATTCAAGGAACCCTGCATATTTTCATAAATTGTACTTTCTTCAGGTACTGCTAAATTTTCGCGATTCTTCAATGTGGGCTCGTGGTACTGATCGTCTTGTGATGTTGTGCAAGTGGATGTAGAAGAACAATAACCCGAAGACGTGGATTCAGTACTAAACAATGGTTGTGCCAACATATGTGTATATGTGTTATCGTTCAATTTTTTCATAATTGGTGCCATGAAACAGTACCCAGTTAAATCATCAATAATTATTTTATTTGTTTTGATTTGTGGCAACCTCACGGCACCGTTAGCACCAATCAAGTTCATTTTTGATGAGTTACAGGCAGAAAAATTAAAATTATTGGGTAATTTCTCGGATATATTAAGGCTCACCATTGAATCAGCTTTTGTTTTGTCAGCTTGTGTGAATAGTTTTGCTACTTCCACTTTTCTGCTTCTATTTGGCAGTATGGCTGAATCGTCGAGGCTAGCCGTACTTAAATCCAATTCATCACTATTAAGAAACGAATTTAATAGTAAATCTGCTACCTTTTCTTCATCGAATGTGTCTAAAAAGTTAATTTTAGATAAGTCTGGACTTGAGAAACTGTTCCGTTTTGAGTTTGCTAAGTCAATCCCAGTTTTATGTAATTTTCGTGACCTCTTTACCGTGATTACTTCATTCGAGTACATCGGCAATGTGCTGGTTGTGGTAACACAATCCCTTTGTAATATGTCCGGAGTAGTACTACCTTTGAGATCATCAACAGTGCTGACCTGACTTTCACTTACACTGCCTGAACGTTTTGAACGCACACTACCAAAAATGTTATCCAACATATTTTTATACTTTTTCTTTTTTATCAAATCCGATTCAGGATTAGTATTGCAACGTACAAGTTCTGCTACGTCACATTGAGCTTCTGCTTCAAAAGTGTTTATACGTTTACGGGGTGGTGGTAGTGGTGGTAATGGTGGAGCTAACTCCAATGCTTCTTCTACAATAGCATTAAAATTAGCTGCAGAAGGCTTCATTTCTTCGTAAATGCCCGAAGCGATGGAAGTGCGTGAAAAACGTCTGGATGAACGTGCAGAATCAGTTTGTTGCATACCTTCGAATATTTCCTCATATATTTCGGAGACACGAGAAACGCGCCGAGACCATGAGCTGCTATTGTCAAATCCATCAGGTATATTAGGTAAAGGACCAAGACTTGTTTTTGAAGCTCTAATATATATACGAAAAAAAAACCTTCAAATGTTTTCGTTAATAATTTGCATATCTATAAAACTTACCTAACGTCTTTTTTTAAAAATTTATTTTCAACATCGTGTTGTGGCATTTCTTGTTTGTCTTTTAATGCACTTTGCGTTATACCTGCGAATCTACCTGGGCCTCTACTGTTACGACGCTGTTCAAGAAATATTTGCCGATGTAGTTCCAGATTTTTAATTGACTTTTTGATCCATTTCATGTGGCGACGACAGCTTGCCTCTGTTTCTAAAGCAAAATATATAAAGCAAGCACGTCGGTTGTGTGTCCAGAAAAGCCCATATGAGTACTGTTTCGTGCGAGATTCTGCAAGACTGATTGTAACGCCAGGTACATTTATGGAAACACTCAGGTGCTTTTGCTCAACTGTATCCGTGTCATCATCATCATCTTCGATCATTTTCGAGAAAGTGATGCGCAGAAAGCAAGGAAGACATTTGATTGCTTCAATTTTTACTTGGCATTTGGACCAAGTCTTAAACTGTATTGACTCGGGCCGCTTGTCGTGTATGTCGAGCTTAACATCCATCAGCATTGATATTTCATTGTTTTCCATGTTTGCACTGTCATTTATTTAGAACTTTATAGCAGGACAAATAAGGCTGAGTACATGTTAATAATTATTTCCTTAAAAATAATTGAAATTGAAAGAAATTTTTCCGAAATAAGTGTATACAAAAAACAGTAGAAAAAATTGTTGAAGGATACAGTTCCTTTTTTAGGGTTGCCAAGTCTAAAAACCAATAATAATTTTAAATATAAACAAGTGAAAGAACTCTATTCCTTCCAATCATCCCAGTGTAGAGAAGAGCACAAAAAATATTTAATCGAATACCTGGTAGCACAAATAAGTAAATAGGAAAATTACTGCAGTAATCTGTTTTCTTCACTACCATAAAATTCTTCAAGAATATTTATATGTATGTCGCATTATTATTATCAAAATTTCATTAAAAATATTATTACTTAATCCTGTTTTAGTAGTGTAATTTGCAATTTCCTAAGACTTACTATTAAACAACGAATTTTCGAAATATTGAAAACTTCTTCTTCTGTTATATTCGCTGATAGAACCTGATTACTTTAAACAAAGTAGTCACGCCATGTAGCGACAAAAAATGTATGAGAATTAATAACAGTTAAAATTCAAATGGTGAAGGTACATATGGTTCGTTTTACATGTTAAGTTTTACAAGTTGAGATACCAATATTTCAGGAATCAAACTTTATTGCCCTTTTAATTACTATAAAGATTTTTTTGTAATATCTTAACTCGCAAAAAATCGTAATTATGACAAAATTTAAGTTATTCAGTTATTCATAATGTGTTTATAATATAGTATTTCGCTGTGTTTATAATATACATATATATGTCATTATTACGAATTCTGTGTTAATGATATCGTAATTTGCAAAAAATCAAACGTCAGGTCGTGACATCTAGAAAATAGTAAGCGTGACAAAATTTAAGTTACACACTATTCATTATTACGAATACTGTGGCAACGCTCACATTTAAAATAAATATTTCACAACGCTTTTAAAACTGTCTTATAATACAATTTAAATGTAAACAATGTCATATGGATATGAGAAGATTTGTTTTGGCGCCAATATATAAACCAAAATTGGTGGAGTATCTGCACTCAACGAAAACATAACAATCGGAATATGGAAGAATCTGATATAAAAGTTGAAGAAAACGATACAGGCCTGTAAGTACGAAACACTCACATTGAAATTATTTAAACTATTTACGCATTTTGTAGTTACGTACGAACACTGGAAGATGTAAAATTGATAACGAAGCATGCTAAACTTGATGAGCGAAGTCTTACTCAAGTAACACAAGTAAGTTAGTTTCAAGATTTAAATACATTTTCACTTATATAAAATAATATCAATAATAGGCGCTCTACTATCCATCAGCCGACATTTTAGCAGATAACATTAAACTACTTGAGTTGGATGAGCATTTGTTGCAGGAAATACGTCTTGGACACAAGCTCAAATTCAAAGGTGGGCTCAATGAAGATGTGGTATTGTGCACAGAAGAAAAAACTTACGATATTAAAGGTGCAGAAATTTCAAACAGTCTCCTGTTGGTACCGGATTTAAAATTTGCCGCCGCAACAAGTACTTGTCCGCTAAAAAGTCCTCGCACGAGAAATGTTTCATTGGAGCGAAGCCTAAATAGCAGCACAGAAGATGAGCCGACTATAGAACGTGTGCTCGAGCAGCATAAAATATTACGCATATTTCATGAATATTTGGAATGTCGTGAGATTCATCCACGTTTTCGCAAAATGGGAGAACTACTGCAATTGACACGGTTTTCGGGTCCGGAGAATGAAGAGTATATAGAACAGAAACTGCTGTTCAGCTATGAGCAACTCTTAGATACAATACAGTGTAGCGAGAAGCAATTTACAGAGGGTCTAAGAATTTATAGAGTCGTCGAGTACAACGGCTATATGCGAGTGTTGGAGTGTGATTACGAGTTTCGTATTGTGAACCTTATGGTGAATCTAATAGAGGAAAACTCGTGGTCATTAGATGAAATTGAAAGGGATGAAACGATTGAAGCTTTGAACGGTATTGCACCGAGACAGATTGTTGAGGGTTTATTTAATTTATACACGACACCAACAACAGATAAGCCAGGCAAATACACATACATTGAAGAACTGGTAGCTCGTATTGTAGCGCAAAATATATTAAGGCCTGGTCTCAAGTTTCGCTTAGAAGAATTTCTTAGTGCATGGCAAGAAGCCTTGCCGGATGGCATCAAATGTGATGTAAGTAAAGAGAAATCATTTAAAATGATTTTATGCGATTTACCTTTATTTTAGAAAAAATATCTCAGAGCCTTGGGTATAATCTGTCGTGAGGGTGTCACAACGAGTGTGCGCTCACTTGTGGAAGAAATTTTACCTACAAACATACACGACCGCTTAAAAATTTTGTTTAAAACTAAAACCAAATGGACACTTGATGAAATTGAACCGTATATGGAGTAAGTAAATTAAACCATCAACTGGAAGTTATTATTTTCCAAGTTCACCCTTGCAGGTTCTTCACTACTCCCACACTGACCGTTACTACATTATTGGCCAAGTATGCGCGATCACTGATGGAAAAAGGGATACGTCACTACGTGTCGAAGCACTAAACTGGAAACAGTGTAGAATTTTTTGTTTGGACATACTTTTTATTTACAACTAATTTATTATTTTTTATCAGCTTGTAATTAAGTAATTAAATGTATAAAACGTCTTCAAACTTCTTTGACAATTTTGTACAACAAAACAAGTATCGATAGACAATCATGCTCCAGTGTTCTTTCTCTTCTTGTTTCGCATTTTCTTCGCCAGTTTGAGGTCTTCTATCGCATCTTTCATTACTTTTACGGCGCTATTATCTTGAGCGGAAGCAGGAATGTTCGGCATCTCTAGATGACCTGTACTTGTGGGATATCTGCAAGGATTTTCAAGAAGTTGTTTATTAATATTTAGTACTTGGATTAATTTTAATGTAAATTGTAAACTCACTTAAAACTGAACCCTTTCGGAAATATTTGTTGGGAAAGCAGAGTTTTCAATTTTGCACGAACATTTTCTAAATGCAAACGATTTTTGCGACGTTCCAGTATGAAAGGGTCTTCGTCTTGATCACTGCCACTAGAAAGAAATAGTTAAATAATAATAAAAAAATAATAAAAAAATGTTAGTAATTATATATAAAGTAAAGAATATCAGTTGAAGCTACTCTTGACTGAAGAAACTGACGTAATTACCGAATTAGAAATGAAGTTCTAATGCGAGGATTATGTTTTTAAATCCAAAAGTTATCATTCTTAAAATAAATCCGTAGTATATATGAATTATTGACACACTATAAAGTATATAAAGGGGGATCCTTTCAAATATATGTGGCTGATGCAAATAACTCGTTTCTAATTTCATCTAACACTAGGAAAGTAAAATAAGCGCATTAAATGGTATGCCAGAGTACCATTAGGTTGAAGAAGAAAACAGCTACCTTAAAAACATGATTCCATGCTACATTAACCTACCTAAAAATAATGGTTTCAAGAAGGGTATACGTTCGTCAAATTCGTTGACCAAGTGCCCGTTGACCCAAAACGAACTACACAAGCAGATCTCTGTGAGCTACAACAACAGCAACATTTAAAAAATACTAAGAATAAAGCATTGGAGAGAAGTGGCGTAGGATAGAGAGCACTAAAGAGATGTGATTGAGACAACACTTGCCCATCCCAGACTATCATGCTAAAATTCCATTTAAAACTCCATTTTTCATATTGTGGACACTCTGTTCAAATTTCCCTTTTCACACACTAACTCCATTTACGTCTTCGTTGATCCTTGATCCATACTTTTGTGTGATATATAAATTGGGAACCATTTCAAAGTTGGAATATTTCTAGTGTTAACTACCGATTTGAGCTCTATATGCTAATGCAATATTCGTAACATAATGGAAATTTGATTCTAAACTGGACTTTACCAATCATTACTCAGGAAAAAATTGATTTAACGCTGTGAGATTGGTGAGATTTCCATTCTTAGATAATATCGTTTGTAAGCATAATATTAAGAAAAGTAAGGAATGATTATTTACTACAACGTACTTAACGGAGTATTTATAAGAAAAATGAGTACTAGAAATTCTACCCATAACTTCTATTAAAATCGTCTACGAAAACTGTCTGTTTAAACTCTTCAAATCGCTAACAAAAATAATATATATATTTATAGTTAAAGTTAACGACATTAGAATTTTGTAAAGCATTATTACAATGTCTAATTGACTTACGAATCATCATTATAGCCATCAATAATCATATCCATTTCTTCAGCATGTTTCTTCATCCAACCAATTTCCGTTTGAGTCCGTTTAAGCTTAAGCTCTTCCTTATCAACTTCACGTGCCACATTTACTCGTTCTTTAACTGCATTCATGTAGCGATCAGCTACAGGAAATAATGGAAGATCTTCACCTATAAATACACAAATATTATATAGTCCACATGCAGTATTAGAAAGAAGATAATACTTCTATCCAATGTCTTATATAGCTTCACGTAGTTTTTCACTTCGCCCGGTTCCATGAACATGACGGTGATGCCATTTTTATTAGCACGCGCTGTACGCCCAGAACGGTGTACATAGTTTTCACTGGTACGTGGAACCTACAAGAGCAAAGAGAGTATTAAAAATATTTCACATTTCATTTCACATTGCTACTCAGTGATATACTTGATAGTGTATGACATGTTCCACATTGGGTATATCCAAACCACGTGCTGCCACATCTGTTGCTATCAGAAGACCATCTGCATTATCCCGAAAACGTTCTAAATTTTTCAAACGTTGTTTTTGTATCATATTGGCATGCAGTGGCAGAGGATTACAGTCCAATAAACCAAAGAGTGTAGCTAAACGCTTTACACAATCAATAGAGTTGCAAAACACTATGGTACGTCCAGGATGCCGCATCAGAAAATAGTAGAGATAATAATCTTTCTGTTCCATGGAACATATGAGGCGACATTCTGTGAGGTTTTGTGCAGTTTCTATAAGAAAAGATTTGTGTTATTAAATTTCCTCTCGTGAAGCGGTACCACATAAGCTTACGTTGACTTCTGGTTATGTCAACAACTTTCGGTTGAGAAATACCCAATTCCTCTATTAATTGCTGTATTTTCAAACCTGGCGTTGGCTTTATAAACTTCGGGCGTTTACCTGTATTGCGATCTATAAAGAAAATTAAAGATTTCAACAAAATATTTCCCAGTATTCACATTAGTACATACTCTTCATATGATCCGGTAAATCATGGACCAATGTCAGTGTCGCGGAGAAGACAAAATTCTGCCTTGTGTGCTTCTTTGCCTCATCAGCATTAAGCACAGTCAGTAAATTGCGTAGTTCTTCGAAGTGTCCTTTTTCCACCATACGATCAGTTTCATCGATAACCAAAAAACTGATGTCATCAATTTTGCTCAAATGATGATTGCCTTCTTGATAGAGCTCCCATAATCTGCCTGGTGTAGCTACAATAATTTCTGGACATTTTCGAAGTATACGCTCTTGTTTAGCAATTGATAGGCCACCGAATATAGCCGCCACTTGTATGCCTTTGAAAAAATTGAGTGCTTTAGATAGAGAATACTAAAAGGACTTAATAACGAACCAGTAAATTTTGCTGCAGTGGTTATATGGTTCCTAACTTGCACAGCTAACTCACGTGTCGGTGTCAATACTAGTGCATATAACGGACTACTGCTTGCTTTGCTATTTAACGTATTTTCTTCATCATCTGAGTTTTCGTCTTCAGAAGGCAAAGGCGGAAAATTGCTCAACTCATCTAGCGGGGGTGTTAGTTCACGATCTTCTTCTTGTTGCTTTGTATCCTGGTGCCCTTTAATTTTTGGTGCTTTCCGTATTCCTCTACTCGATTTCCTTGCTTTCAGCTCCATTATACCAGCCAATATTGGTATGCCAAAAGCAAGTGTTTTGCCACTACCAGTCTCGGCTGCACCCAGTATATCCTTCTTACCCATAATTGCAGCAGGCAATGTCATAGCCTGTATTTCTGTAGGCGATATGAAGCCATTTTCTGCTATAGCACGCAATATTGTGTGAGGTACACCTAAGCCATTCCAACCCTGCAATAAAGGGGAGTTTAAAACAAAACAAAAAAAAAATTATCTTTGAAAAGAACTTTACATCTAATTGATCTATGCTACCAGCGCTCTCAGCTTTAGCGTCACTTTTGATCAATTCTGGAATTTGCTCCTCATTGTCATCACTTGCATTTGCACTTGCACTTGCTGGCCTTAATAAAACAAATCGCCCTGCTGGATGCACATCCCGATCTGCGCTATCATCCTGTTCACCCTCCGATTCAGTAGTTTTGGATTTCCTTTTCTCCTTTCTTTTCTCTTTGCGTTCTTTACGTTTCTCTAAAATTTTAGCTTTACGTTCTGCATATTTTTCTTTTTTAGTTTTAACTATCTTGGGTTCGTTATCTTCTGTAGCAGTTCCAGAATCATATGCTTCGTCGTATTCCTCTTTTTCCACTTTTCGTTTTCTTGATTTACTTTTTTCATCCTTCTGTATGGTACCATGCTTGATCTAAAAAACATTCTTTTAATTCTGTTCTTTGGAAAATAATACGAAATCGCCATACTTTCCCACTTTTTACTAAAGCTGGTTCATAATTCTCCAACACCTCAAGTCCTATAAGTCCCTCGAAGCCGCCAGCATCATCAGTGAGTACTTTTCCCTTAATTTTAACTTTTTCCCATTTCCTATTTAGTTTTTTGGTAACAGATTTTTTTTTTATAACGTCTGTTTTAGTTTTAATTTTGTTTTGTTTTATTTTCGCCATTCTTAATTTTTTAATTAACTAAAATATCAGCAACAAACGGTTTTTGAATTTCTTTTAAAGAATTTCATTGCACGTGCATTTGTTTTTCTTGGTCTTTGTTTTCTCTTACAGTTTGAAAGTGTTTGAACAAAATGATAATGCTGCCATAACATTTAAGAAAATATTATTAGTAATTAATTATTAATTAATGAAAAGTTTATAATATGGTATATAGTCTGCATAAAAGATAAAAGACTAAAAACCTAATATGGCGTTTACACTGGCCGGAAATGGCTCATTTCAAATGCCATATAATAAGGCGTTTACATTGGCAGAAAACAGCTCATGCCTGTTGATTTAATTTTGACCTGTGTCAAAAAAATGTTGCATAAAGGTTAAATATATCTTCAAACCTTACAATATAAACTGAAAACATATTTTTAACTTCGATTAAATACTTTTTGGGAATTAGAAGATCTAAAAAGAGGTGCATCGTTTTCAAGAAAATGCAATAAAGGTTAAATATACCTTCAAACCTTACAATATAAACTGAAAACATATTTTTAACTTCGATTAAATACTTTTTGAGAATTAGAAGTTCTAAAAAGAGGTGCATCGTTTTCAATAAAATGCAACCACCAAACATTTGTTTATCATTTTTTGTAAATATGTCAGAAACAGCTTTCTGAAATTGTCAAAATGCCATTAAAAGCTTTTATTTGGATTATGTTCAATGTATTCATTTGCATTTGGATCATATTTGGAACTCATTCTACCGCATTTATGCAGAATGCGATCCAGTCGATCTGATTTTACGCTTGAGATTTTGTATGCAAAAATTAGCCATTTGCTTCTCGTTTTCGGTTTTTAACCATAATGAGCCATTTGAGGTCAATGTAAATGCCGTATAATACACTTCCTTAATGTTTAAAATAAATGCTATAGTTACATTTAGATGTATGTTCAATCATTTTAATCACTTAAACTTTGTCAAATCAAATGGTTATTGTTATGTTCTTTTTTTATTTAATAACAGTATTAACATTTTGACATTCGTGCATTGTTACTATGATGGAATATATCACAGTTATAATTATCAGCTGTTTTTCACATCTATTTGGTTTATAACCTGCTCGTATATAAAGCCGTAGAAGATTTTGTGTCTGTGTATAAAAACTTCGTTCAAATGCTAGAAGGTAATAAGCACTGAGGAATAATCAATATCATTTCAATCTACTATTTTGAAAAAAGTATTATGTATAAATATGGTCCTTTAATAAGTTTAACTCTCAAGTTTATTATCAGTTATAAATTTATTTCCTTTCCAGTATCTTAAATTTTTGTTCATCATTTCCATATATAAATAACATTCCATAAATATTTGCAAATTAGATACACATAATTTTTCTAAGCTTCCATTATAATCTATTAGTTTAGTACTCTCTTAAAATGATAATCTATTATTTTTATTTGGTATCACCGGTAATTCCCAACTTCTTTTTAAGTGATTCTGGCATTTCTGGTGGTGGTGGTCTAGGCATACGCAGGTATACTTTAACAGCATCATAAATAAACCATTGTGCAGCAGTCAATGTACCAATCATCACAATCCTAGGCATAAGACCACCCCAGAGACCTATGTAATTAGTGTTTAAAAAAAATTATACAATAAAAATTAGTAAAACTCGTAAATTTAGTGTTATGTTCTTTAAGACACTCACCTGACCAACCAAGTTTCTTAGCAACATCGAAAGCGGATGCACCCTTTTCTTGATTTAATTTGGACACAACTGTGTCGGCTGGATGTGACACAATAGCACAAAATACACCAGCAATATAACCAGCAGCAAACGTAACAACGAGCTGTTCGCCTTTCGTACAATCTTGACGTGGCTTAGGCACGACATATCTGTGAACATGTGCACATTAATACAACTTTTAGCCAATCTCACAGTTATTGCATTTCTAAACTTACTTATACAACAATTCCAATGTTCTTTCGAAGCAGGCAAACTTCATCATAGTGTATGGAATTTGTCTCATCCACAAAGGCACCAAACCCTTATAGAAAGCAGCAATACCTTCCTGTTGAGACATCTTAGGCAGTGCTTCACGTAGAGTGTTTGCAAAACCTGGCGTTGTTTGTATTTTTACTTTGGCTGCTTCCATTGGAGACAAAGCAATATCGGCAAAGAACTCAGCCGATGCAGAGGCAGCCAAATACAACCAAGTTCTGTACAAGTACGAGTTTTCCTCACCAATCATATCCGAATACATAACTTTGAATACTTCATAAAGACCAAATTTGCAAAGACCCTGCATAGAGTAACCGAAAAATGTGGGCGCCCAGCCTTTAGACAAGCCAGTAACACCATCTTCTTTCAAAGTGACGCGGAAACCATTGAAGACGCTCTTATATTTAACTGGATCCACTTGTAAGCGACATTTAACCAAATCTAGTGGCACAACCATAGTATGAGTGAGACCACACGATATAATACCGCCAAGGCCACATAGTGCGAAGTATTTATTTGAACCAAATGCACACGAATCTAGAATATTGGATAGGAATTAAAATCAAATAATTTTTGCGTGAGAGTAAAAGAAAGCATACCTCCCTCCACAACTGTGGCAGCCGCCATGATATTATGATTCGGTGTCAGCTTCTTTGGCGGCATTTCTGCCTCGTTCATTGCTGGCGCACTTTGGCAGCTCACCGTTGTGAAAGGTGACTTGAACGGAGAGTTCTGCGAAGCTTCCAGAAGTGATTTAAACAGCATTTTTAGAAGATTTCTTTGTGATAATCTACAGATATGAGAAGAAAGTTAAAATGAAGATAAGTCACACTTCAGAAAATAGATGTTAAGTTATGTATTTTAAAGGGTGTTAAATGATTTATGGGAGAAATAGATGTTTAAACCTTAATATGTGATATTAAGCGGTTGATGGTGACGGTTGTTTGTTAATATCTCTAAAATATTAGATTTAAGAATATTTTTTAACTTCCATTTATTAAACTATAAGTTTCTGAAGAAACTTTCTATATACCAAAATTAATTAGTTTGTAAAAATTCGAATATAAAACCAAGTTCCAAATCCAAATCCAAATCTTAGTAGTAAGATCATGATCGGGTATTTTCGCGTTTTCTACATAAGGTCACGGACTTTTATGTTATATCATCAGTAAAACAACAAGACCTTGAATCCATCACCTATTTGTTAGATAGTTTCAGTACAACTTGTAGTTACTAATACTGAATCCAGCTATATAGATTATTTGATTATTTTGAAAAATGTTTTCTTTTTACTAAATTGGTCTCTAGAACTTAAGTTTGTTATATCTGTAGTTTTTTTGAAAATAGTATTAGTCCTATTAGTCCTAGTATTAATCTTGTATTTGAATTGCTTTCTTATCTGATGCTAAGAATCAATTTCATTTATTCTTTTCCGTGGTGTATGATCGATCACTCTTGGTAGAAGCATAGGGCTTTTGTCAATTGCTCGAAACCAATTATGTTTCCATCTTGCAAATTATGGGGTCCAACAATAATCGAACTATATATATATTGCATAAAAATGGTTAAGCTAAAACAAACAATTAAAAAAACTTTATTTTGATGATCAATTTTGAGGTTATAGGCATTACGTTAAGAATGATGTAATGACTCTACATCTAATTTACATTGAAGGTCATTACCGCTTGTCGATGCAATAAGATATATATAAAAAAATCTTAGATCTTAGATTGATATTATAGAATGTTTAGGGAAAATGGAAAAGTGGAAAAAATCTATAACTATTCTTTTCACATTCATATTTTTGTTTTCATTGCGTCTTTCACTTTTTATATAACATTTCTATGAAATCTTCGAAAATTTTTATTAGATTTGGTTGCGTAATATTTGCAAATTACATATATATATCGCAATATTTGAGACAATTTTTTCTTGAAATCTTCTTTAGTTCTATTTATCATTTTCGGTGTCATTTTTAATCAAACAATCGAATGTAGGAACACACTTCTATAACTCACTTTTTACGATCAGATCACAACGACAAAGTCGAAGAGTTCTAAACTTTCAAGACCGCTACACGCCAGACCACAAACAGAAATGCAAACAAATTATATATCTTTTAATTCTACTATAAAATCTGTAATAAAACATATTTTATTTATATTGTATTTTGCAAAACTCTCCTCTAAATATTTGAGTTCGAATGGAACACTTTTTGAGAAATTTGCATTGGAATTTGTGCATTGGGTGAGAAAAGTAGTGAACCTATGCTGTGAGATAAATTGAAGAGATTTTTTCGCTGATTTTTTGTACTAAAATATTTTATATTGCAATCGCACTCCACATTTTAAAAATAAATTCATTAACACGACGAAACCGCTGCATACAAGGTCGATTCAATGCTCTTTAGTTCTTCACAGACCTGCGCCAATTCTTAGCGTAGAGTCCACGCATTGTGTTGCCACCTGGAGTACGCATTTGAAGGCAGGAAAATTGAGATTTCAAATGGTTTATATGATGGTCAAAACAAGGATTATAGATTATTTTTCAAGTTTTATGAAAGTGTTGTGGTGTGATGTGAGCTCCAATATTGCCTTTCCCAAGAATTATAAACGATTGGGTTCTGTTTTTATGTGAAGACGTTATCATTATAGGGACGTAAGTATATATGTGGTATCGATGAGGATATCTGCGGATTTTGTAAAGAGAAAAGTGAAATATTCAGTCAGCTTCTGTGCTTATATGCTGTGTAATAATTGAAACACCTGTAGCAGAATGTGGGTTTATTATATATTCTGTTCCCTAATCCCGATTAGATTACAATACCCAACCATAGTCTGTGTTTCCGACGATTGTCGAAAAACGCAATCTAAATTTTACTATGCGTCTCATCGAACCAAAGGATGTCTGAAAATTTGAAACGTAAAATATTGTTAGTTTTATCAGTGGCCTTATCAGTTTATCTAAGTTACATACAATAGACTTTATTACTGGCCATACTGTATTACTCTTTCTTCTATAACATAACAGATATAAGAATAACGAATTAAAATTGCATAAATCGTCAATTTTAGGGATTAACTTAAGTTCAATATGCTTTCAGGTTAAAATACAGTTTTAATTAGTTTTATAGTTGAATCGTTAGTAATTTTATTTTTATATTAAACATTAAAACATGTATAATTGCATTTTTCTTAAAAATACTTAAAAAGTAAGTACAAATAATTATAAAATTCTTATTTATTTATATGTATATATATATATATATATGTATATATATATTAATATATGTGTGTGGAAAGTATAACACAACATATGTATAAAATAAAATTTAAAAACAGTTTACAATTACATACATTGTTGACATGCAAAATAATACTTCAGTTTGTTTACATAATAAACACGAATATAAAAAACTCTAATAAACGGTCAATAAAATTGTCTAAAACTTGGCTGGCATAATTTCCTTTCTTTACAAGAAATAGTTAACATAATTAAGTCAATTAAGTCAATAATTACCGTATAACTATTGTAACAAATCAGTAAACAGTAAATCGCGATAATTCGCTTTGGATAATACTTAAACTAAATGCCATTTCAGTTATGTGTACAACTTAACGACAAATACAAATATATGTAACTAGCTAATGCGATAATGTCGTGACAGTCAGACTGTTCACAGATAAAACTTAAAGCTAATTGGCAAAAACAAGACTTTCCAAAATTTATATTTAAACTACTAAAGTTGTTAACACATTTCTTCTGCTTTAGAGTTGGCAATATGTAAAACGGCTATGAATCGGCAGTTTCCATATGACGATGCACTGTGACGGGTGCTAGTATGTAATGTGAGCCATTTGGCGCGTTTTTGTTGTCATGTATTGGTAAGACAGTTTGTTCATAAACACGTGCCGGAGAGTGCACGTTGGTATAGTACTTTTTAGGTGATGTAAGATTATAGCGTGCATCTTTACTTGTGGTTGGTTGGTTATGGTATGAACTGTTGTAATTATGTTGTTGGTTATGGCGATTTGTTGGACTTGAAATTGATGTAGATATTGACATTGTATCGGATTTACTATGCCGATTATCATTTAAAAGTAGAGGTTCGGCAAGTGTGAAGCACTGATGGTCGGAAGAGTCTTCATGTGGTGTCATGGTGGAATAACCATGATCTGATTCTCCATTAGGTGGACGACGATAACTGCTACCTGTGGACACATGATAAGGTGATATATTTGCTGGATTTATTAGGTTCCGTTGTGCTGAAGTGTGATCATAAATATCTGGTGGTTCATCATGTGCCTGACAGTCATCAAAATTAAAACGAGACAATGGCAAGCCATAGTTTTCTTCTTGTAAAGAATCTATATAAAACTGATCCTGCGAACCGGTATCCACACTGTGTCGATAACAATAAATAGCCAAACCTATCACTATACATAACACAACCACTGCGCCTCCAATTGGACCCAGTGCAGAATAAGAACTTTGATTAGAATCAGGATTGTAACCATGTGCAGCGATAATTTCAAGTTCGTCCAAGTCCCCATAAGGCGTAAGAGATGACAAAACACCTAAAAATAGTCATAGTCAATGTAATTAATATACTAATTATGTACCATTAAAATTACCATTAAAGCATGTTGTTTGCGCAGTGCAAAATGAAGCAGCAAAACCATTGCCATCTAAGTCTTGCTGACACCATTCACAACCCATCACTGCTAAGCACTCCTGTTGTGTGACAAACAAATCACAATTCATATTAACACAGGAATGCAGCAGGTTGTTTTCATTGATTTGTGGCAACGCTATAAAGTGTTCACTAGGCGGTTTACAATATGGGTATTGTTGTGTATAGTTGCTGTACGGTTCATCCGAGTCCGACGTGAGCTCGGTGAAACCATTTGTGTCCATTGGACATTCGCACGGACACTCGCAATCCATTTGATCCATACGATTACAGTTTAAACAGGTGCGATCAATTGTGCTACAGGGGCAAAAAGCACCACCATCGCATGTGGAATTCAATACAGCGGCAAAAATATTACTACCAGCCACCAACGTAATTGCGTATTTAGTGCGCTCCCCATGCACCACATTTGTCAATATGTCCGTTAGTGATGTATTGAAGACATAATAGCGTTGCAGCGTTCGATTCTGATAATTTGCACAAGCCACCTTCCGTACTAGGACTTTGTGGTTAAGTATATCATTAGCTAAGTACGATTCTTTGTGGGTGAGATGTTCATGTGGTCGTCGTGGATTTTTCTGCTGAGTACTTGCTTCTAGCATACTCGGATGTGCAATTAAGAAGCCTTCGTTTTCGAAAAGTAAACATTTCATGTTATTTAATTGACATAAAGGCGTAGAATCCAAAATCATTTTATAATAATAAGTATATGGCAAGTCTATGGCAACAATAGCAACCGGCTGCTGTCCTTCTAACTGGTGTAATGCATTGGATTTTCGCTCGAAAATGGTGTGAGCCACAGTAACAATGTAACCAGCACCGCCTGCAATGGTAGAAGAAAATATCAATTAAATTTTGAAAAATAATTAATTACAAAATTATAACTTAATATCAAGGTTGAATATATAGAAACTCCCACATTAATCAAGAGAGTTTATCTATATCCTGATAATTTTATAAATGAAACTTATCAAAGATTTATTTATCTGTTATTAACGCAATTAAAAATTGTTACTCACCTGCATCTAAATAAGGTTCCGTTGTAACTATTTTACCCGGAAGTTGCATTGCTTTGCGAAACCAGGGACGTCGCGTAGGATCGTAGTTGTTGCTTAACAAACAACCAGGATAGACTTGTAGGACACCACTAACTGTAGCGATGTACCGACGTATAATATTATTTTTCATATTGCCGCGTGCATCCTGATGACGCTTCTTCAAGTGTTTCATCGCATTGTACAAAGCATTTATTTCATGACGTATTTGTGGTCGTAAGCCAGGATTAGCTAGCAAACCTGTAGTATCCTTAATATATGCCATTATGCTCTCCGCCGTTCGAACTTGAGTTTCTGTCGAACTCATGCGATTGTTGTGCAAGAAATTAAAAGGTGACTCAAATGCCGATGCGCTGAGGAAGATGGTGGCGGAATCTAAAAATCAAGACCACATGAATTTAGAAGTTTTAAAAATTCTACGTTTAAAAATGTAAATACCTAATGTTGCCACTTGACGAAAATAGCGGCAAACATGTCCATTTGGTGGTGGTATTAAGTCCAAACGATGATATAACAAATCAACAATTGGCATATGCTCGAATTCCTTTGGCGGGTGAAACTGAGAAACTAAAGTATCCTTCCCACCATACCTTGGTATATTCAGTGCAACTGTAGCGGCTATTTGCATACCCATTTTGGAGTTTATTATCTCATTTGGTGTAATAAGTTTTATTTCGCTTTCGGGGTTTGTAGTAGATACTAGACAAAGCACATATATGCCTAGAACCGAGCGCCAGTAATATGATCGGTTTAGAAGCTATATGGAAATTATTATTCAAAAATTAAATTTTTAATTACATTCTATATGCTATGTATAATACAACAAAAATATCTACTTCTAAAGAATCACATGAATACCTAAAAATCAATATATTGCAGTTATATCTTCGTAAATTGAAAGTACTATAAACAAAAATAAACAATATTATACATTGTGATCATGTGCTACATATCTCCTTAAAATAATAAGTTAATGCAATTATTTAAATAAGCAATATTAAAATAAAATATAAATAATTGTAGAAATTTAACTACAGAAGTTTCTTTATATTAATGCATTTCAAAAGGCTTTAGTGTATAAAATATTGAAATTAAAACAATACAATAATAATTGAGTTTTAAGACCTAATTGAGATTTTAATTGAAATCTAAGAAATTTTTCACAACGTTGCATTAATAAACAGTTTTATTTTAATAGTAGAGCAGTAGAAATATAGAAATTTGTAAATAAATAATAATAAATTTTAAGATTTCTTACTTCTTTCCTACGATTACTGTTTACGAAGACAGTTGTTTTAACATTGCCAGATTTTTCCTGAAGTATACGGCGGCGAATATTTACAAAATTTGTTGAATTTTCTAAATATGCAATGTCTACTGGAAATGGGGTTTGAGTTTGTGTAAATGGCCTTGGAAAAGCTGGATGTGCAATGGTCATGCCATCCCGATCGACCATAAATGCATAGCTGAACTCATTTCTATTGATATTTTGCACTTGCTGTCCATAATTTATAATATCTTCTATCAGATCCGCGACATATAAATTCACACCTACTAAACCAAAAGGAGGCACTGCATGAGTCACGGAAACAATAACATCTGAAAGTAAATCTGTGTCATTATATTGGGGATTAAAAAATAATAACTTTTATAATCAACCTCTACTGTAGGGATCTACGAAAGGCGGGTGTACTTCCAAATTTTCCGATAAATATTTTTGATCAAATGTGTTTTCGAAAATAGCCGTGCTTGCTTGCATGAGCTTATCGGGATGCATTTTAGTTAAAATGCAAATTTTTCCAATCAAATTATTTTCTTGACGTATTTTGAGCCAATCAACATATTTTATATCAAATTTCGTATAATTTTGTGTTGATATGTCGGTTAAAAATTGTTTTTCGTACATAATACGTTTCTCATCTGAAATATAAAACAAAATAATTAATTTCGTGACATTCAACATTTTTACATTTATTTACCCATCACAACAGCACAAGTGTGTATAGCGACAGGTTTTTGTAAACTCTGTTGTCCTGTGGCAATGACATTCATTACTTGCATTGCATCTGATAGATTGGCCAATAAACCACGGGTTATATATACAAATGTTATGGGATTGTGTGTACTAATTAGAGTTGCGTTCTCCAGACTATGTAATATTTGAAATACGCGCTCAAATCCTAATGAATGATTGGTTAAACTTTTGGAAACTATCAAATTATTTATGTAGTTCATTATTTCATCTTTCCGTTCTCGAGTCGCAACATAAACACCAATATTTGCATTATCATCGCTGTTATTGGCCTCCAAAAACATACAATGTGCTTCTTCAGCTACAGTAACAATGGATATTAAATCCTTGTCGGATAGTTGTTGTAAAACATTATTTACTAAAAATGAAAAAAAATTATTGATTATTTGTAACATAACTAATGATATTTCGTATTGAAAATAAAGGACTAAAAACTCACCAAAATTCTTCGTCAATTCCATTAATTCTACGTTCATCACAGAGCCAATATCAATTAAAATAAAAGCATATTTACGTCTAATGGCGGACAAATATAGATATCTAAAATGTAAGTCGTAAAAGTAACGTTCACTTTTATCACTAGCATGATCACTACGAGATAAAAAGTAGATATGTTTGAAATGATTTCCGACCAATTTTATTTTAGAATTGATAGACGTCGCTTTCTGATTTGCTTCAGTTTTAGTTAACGTACTTTTTAAACTTTCTAACTTTTCTATAATAAAAGCATTTGCCTCCAAAGAAAGTTCATTGTTTTCATTTAAAAAGTGATCCACAGAATGCGACCTGCTCTCTTCAGTCTTTAGATAGTTGACGATTTGAATTTGCTGTTTATTATAATTTTGCTCTGTTGCTAATGCTCCACTCTCGCACGATTGTATATAGGTGTTAAGATACAAATTAATGCTATTCTGTTTCTCTTCATTTGATTTAAAACTATCAAAATCGTCTATTTCTATGTCAAATCCTGAATCGATATCTTCATCTTCACTGTACTCAGTAAGCATATGTTGTTGTAGATCCAATATTTTAGTGATGTTTTTACGAAAGAAATCCCGCAGCTCATACACAACATGCGAGGCTTTATCCAACTTTTTAAACAAACGTTTAGCAAAAACTTGCAGATCTTGGTCGGGAGGATCTAGAATTTGTTGCTGATCCGTCTCACTGATATTTCGGTATGCATGTACATTGGAAGCACTGGTAAATTGCATTGAATCAAAAATTTCCTAAAATAAATAAAATGAATTAATTAATAAAATTAAAATTTTCGATTTGTTTGTTAAACCAACTTGTATTGTAGGCACACGCATCTCCACATTCCGCAGACTACGCAGGCGGTCATCTATATTTCGAATGAGCTGCATGACATTCTGTTGACTGTTGTAATTGGCAAGGAAAATGCTTGTGGCGATTTGGGGATATAAATTCTCAGTAACGTTTCGTTTTAAAGGCACTTTTTGAGCTTTCGTGTTAGGAAAGGAGTTCACGGCTGGACTTTCCTTAGACACGTTTATAACAGGCGTTGCTGTAAATCTCACATTGATTGTTGGCGATTTTGTCGTACTTAGGCTAAGATTATACATGCTTAATAGTAAAGGAACATGACTATTTACATTAGTTTCAGTTTCCACCGTCGATGCGGATGTCGCACATATGCAAATGATTAACACTGCATATGGCCGCAAAATGTTGGTAAACATTTTCAGAGAAGTTCTCTTCTATTTTTCTGTTGCATATAGTGGTTATAGGTATAAGTGGCTGCATAGCCTTCCTGGAAGATTTAGTTGCACAATTGTGTTTGAGTTGAATTAAAAACCACTTGGAACGTTTTTAAGGAAGCTGTAATAAATGTTTGAACAAAAAGATTATTATATGATATTATATGATTATTGAACTAAAAGTCATTCGAAATCACCTCAAAACAAAATCATTTACAAAATCATGGAAACCAATGAAACAATGAAATGACATTTTAAATAAGAAAATATATATGTTTGTTTCTAATTGCTTTACATTATTGTCATATCAGAAGACCCAATGAAACCTCGACTATACTATCCATTGAGATATCACTGAAGAGTCTCCTAATAAAATCCTTATATAACGTAACGCACATACTCAGTGGATTATCGCGGAAAGGCTAGGTGGTCTACCAAGAACTGAGTGCAGTGGGTCATATAGTTGTCAAGAAGAGTGAATTCTATAATTTACACTAAAACATATATTTTAGGAGAATCTTAAACTTATATTGGGTCAACCGAATCCACTGTAGCTTGTAAATATATAACGAATTTGTTAGGTCTGCATGAACAAATAAACTTTAGCAAGAGTAGTGAGCGCTAATTCCCATAAGTGAGTGGCGTCAGACTGTATAAATAATAGTCATCTAGCCAAACACGTGATGAAGGAACAGTTGTGCCATTTTCTAGAAGAAGTTGGGTGAAAATATGTACTCCTAACATAACCCAATCACAAATATTTTAATGTGTAAGAACCACTCAAATTTTGCACTGTGAAGGCAATGGTTTCACATAAATTGAAATCATAATAGAAATGAATTGAAATGATGGCTGCATTGAGTAGATTGGCTGGGGCTTCATGTCGACGGACGTAACTTAATGTCCAAAGGACCAACATTCTATTCCCATTTTTTGGTTCTCCCGATATTAAATTATTTTTTTTGATTATTAATTTTATTTGGAAGTTCGTATTACTTAATCGTATTTGTTTTTTTAGTTTATTTTATTACTTGTTTTGTTTTTATATGCCTTTTTTTATTGTTTAAATGTTTTTGTACTTGTTTTTTCGTTTTGTTTATATATTCCGTCTTTGAAGTTTGCCGAAAAATATGTAGAGAAAAAGGAATGAAAAAAACAGCTTGCACATCAAAGCACCACACTTTTTCATTATTTGTTTTGTACTTAAATTCATACTTTGGTAAATTTCTATTATTCACCTTAGTTAATTATTGGATATTAAACATGTTTATATTATTTTAAATATATTTAATTTCCATTATTTCATTTAACATACAAATTATTAGAAAACTATACGCACAATACATCGGAATGCGTAAAATTATAAGCGAAAACTAGCGATGAAATTTGTTTGCCGTATAGTAGATGTGTTATCGGTTACTTAAGTGACGTTAGTGATTAACTGTAATCGAAGTGGGTACTCTAGTATTTGAACGATACGATTACTTTTCTCTACATATGTGCCTACAATTTCAACTGAACCGCGCGAAGAATGTAGCTACACTGCCGATTTGGCAATTTATCTATACTAAAATATCTCTTTATTCTGTAATATAATACACAATTTTCTACAAATCTGATAATATAGTTCGTGTTACTTCTAAAAGTTATTTTTCACTACGCAAGAAGATGTAATTATTTGCTTAGGCGTTTACATATGACTAATCATTAACTCAAATTTACTTATACATGTGAAAAGAATTTCAATATGAATGAATTTAAATAGGTTTTAGTTAAATATAATAAAGAGGTTTATCGTACAGTAGTGAACTGCAACAAAAGAATTTATTTAAGGTTTTAATTAATACTCGAGACCATACAGCTGTCTCCAGTATTGCCATCATCAGTGGTCTTAGAAATAACTCTTGTATTTATTTATGCGTAAATAATATTTTTGAAACTGCAAGTACCAGAAATCGAAATTGTATATTGTCAAATTTGAAGCTCAGAGTCAGCGCACCTTAACCAACTGACCTAAAGCCGTAAGTTTTAAATATAATATAACATATTCAAATATAATATTTGAAATTAAAATATAAAGTTAAAATATTTAATGTTTGAATTTTAATTTAATATTATATTATAACTTAAATAATTCTATTTAACTGAATAATAATTTTAATAAAATTAATATTAAAAAGTCAAATAATTATTTTTAATGTCTTATAAATGAGAATTTGATTTAATTTCAAATATGTAATATCTTTTACAGATTAAAAAATAAAACTTAACAGCTTCTGTATATTTCTACATTTCGAACTCAGAATAATCTAATTAATTGACCGCGATTATTGTATCGGTAGACCGGATCCTTAACTGCACCCACTGGTGTATATTTCAGTTGCGCTGTAAAACCATTGCTTCGCCTTTCCTCATCATCTTGTGTTGTCGTAAACATGACACGTTGTACATTATTGTCAGGACCCAAAACAAAATACTGTCCCTTTGAAAATCGTCTTGGCACTACAGTTTTGGATGGGGTTTGTGGAGAGAAATCTGTTGCATCGCTACCACTTTGACTACTCACATATTGACTATCCCTTTCACGATTATAAGCTTCAACGGCAGCGTTCAAAGCTTCAATAGCAGCAGGATTTTCCTCATCAGCATTAGTGGCAGTTAGCGAATTTCTGGGATCCGGAAATGCGGAATTTTGTTGTACGATATCCGGAACACCATATTGTGGCGCTGGATTGGTAATTTCTTGCCTTTCGTCTTCAGGAAAGAACTGTTTTTGTTCTTCTTGAAGCTGAATTTGTGGTTGAATCGGACCATTTGGAAAAATATCCTTATCATTTTTAAAAACAGTATCTCTGTCATTTGGCAAGGCTTGTGTATTAAATGGAGTTCTGTCTGATTGCCGTGGCGGTGCATAGTTACTGTGTGGTTGATGGTTTAGATCTGGTGATATGTTATCTTGTATTTGCCCAGCAAAATCTATGCGTTCTTGTGTAATTTCAACATCTGCAACTTGTGGTAGTTGGTTTTGTGATTCTACTTCACGGGCTGGTAGATATTCGCCTGGTAAATTAAATGGTTTCTTCGGTCGCCAACCTGCTGCTGGGTAAGGAGCTGCTTTAGAAAGAATCTGCTCTGCCAAGCTGGTAGTTACTGTGAGTGTGAGAATAACTAAAAACTAATATGAAAAGATTTTTTTTATGAATTATCTTTCATTTTTAGAACTCAAAGTTTCAGGGGTAATGAATATCCCCCCCTGGATATTCTTTTACCCTACTCTACATACCTTAAAATAAATCATTTTTGCCTCGGTTAACGAACTAATGTTCAGAAAATAATGCGTATAACTGATTTTAGTTCTCTTCACCAAACGCACTTTTATACCCAAAGAGAATTTAAAACCTGACTTAAGACCTCAAAAATAATGCTTGAATATTTTAAGCACGTTTTGTAATAAATTAAATAAAACTGTCTATGCCTTTGTGTTTGTATAGGATGGTTAGCTTTAGGTTTCCCAGCATAAGTCACTTCAACTTCACTTCTATGTATTGGCAAAATTCTTAGTGACGTCCTTACATTGAATTCAAAAACTGCATCATCGATTTCTTTTGGATTTTGGATTTTGGATTTTGCTCTCTCTGCGCTCAATTCAAATCCCAGTCACGTAGAAATATAATAAATTAAAAAAGCGCACGCATTTCATAAAAATATAAATAAAAAAGAAAAAACTTTTTTACAAAATATCCAACGATACACGAGCTTTCGAGGATTTTACACTGCAAGCGGCAGACAAAGCCGGCCATTAATATCGTTGGCGTTGTGGATGAACTGCTGAGGACTGCTGAGGACTGCAATGGAAAGTCAGAGAACTTTTGTTAAGTTCAAGGTCAATGACGTCACTTGACTTATTTTTGTATTAATAAATAGATTATAAATGCAGTAATAACGAGTTTGGAAAAATTGGATTAGCTAATCGTCCAAATCTTGTGATTAGTTCGTCACATTGCATTTTTGACCCATTAGTATAGAAACCTTTTAAAATTAAACATAATATTTTAAATGCAATGGTCTTACTGCATTGCAGTTCTTTAGTAGTGAACTTTTTTTTCACACCCAAACATACCATTGACCAAGGTTGGCTCAGAGTATGAGTCATAAATAAAATTAAATCATCAATACCGGATTGCCATTAACTAAACCAGTAAAGGTAAACGAAGTCAGCAAATGTTGAAAGAAAATTAGTTACAGTTGCATGATTGCGGTAAAAATATTTAGCAAACTATTCCATTATATTTTAAAATTTTTCAATATTTTAATAATATTTTTTCAGAATAGAAAGAGAAACGTGAACTGTGATTTCTTGCGGTCATCCTAAATCTCCTTGAATCGAAATGTTATGAGTTGCACGAATTTTTGGAGTCACAAGTGATTTGCGGTATAGAAAAAGGGAGGAACTATTTTACCATACATTTCTTAAGCGATCTTTTGAACGTTGTTAAGATTCTCCAAAAGTGAGCCATAAGCCATAAGCCATCATTAATTATTAGTACGAGTATACATCGAAATCATGACTGTCAAAAAATTAGCCTAAACTAACGTGAGCAGACGTGAGTCCAAACATAAAGATTCCAAGTTTAAAAAAATACTTAAATATGTTTCAAATTTGTTACATTGTTTTGCGCATATTTTATAAATTAATTATGCTAAGTTGCACTCAAAAGTGGGCTTACGGACCTCTCAATTGTTCCGGCTAATCATCTTTCCCATGCGCAGCCACAACAAATTACAGCGGAATTTAATTATTATTATTAACTTAATGAATTGTCAAAACAATTTCTACTTATCAGCATTACTGGTAGGTCGCACACTCCATCGAATGCAAGGCTTGTATTTGTGGTGTGTCTCGGTAGTGTCTAGTTTGATTGGGTCAATGTTATTGTGGCCCCAGTAGCGCTGGGTGTCTTAATTTTTGGCACGTTCTCAGCAGTCACGTTTCTAAGATGTTAATGATAACGCTCGGTATTGAACGTTTGCAGTTTATAAGCACATGTAAATGGACATATCGACTACGATTTTAGTTCCATCAAACAGCAGTTAACACTTAATAATTCATACTTCGAACAATTTTATTACATCTTCAATATGAAGGATGGTGTTATGTGCAGCGATTTTCTTTACAAATGTCAATAAGCCATCAACATGCATCAAATGCGTTGAGTTGCTTTCAATAATTATTTTATTAATTATTATTTAATAATACTATTTATTTTTATAAAAAAAGTCAAAGAAAGCAATTGGCTCATAGAATATAACATATATGAGTTTTAATCCTTCTTCAAAAACAAAATGTTTTGAAATTGTCGTTCTATTTATGTACGAGTATGTATTTTTAATATATTCTCATAATAATAATTTTAAAAAATATTTTTATTTAATGTTTAAATGAACATTGAAATTCACGTATGCAACAACAGTTTTGGTTTTTCCACATTGTTTCAGAGATACTTTCTTCTTTTGATACATCATTGATATCGCCTATCACAGTACTGTGTCTGTCGTAAATAAATAAATAATAGTAATAATAGCAACATTAAGTTATGTAATGCTGTGGTTTTATATACTTTATCTTCAACATAAAAATGATACTTGACACAATTTACAAGTGCAATTTGCTCTTAATTTTGAAGTTATATTTCAGTTTCGCGGCGAAGTTGCTGTGATTGAAATCGAATCACATCGGCTGAGAAAAAAATGAAAGGCAAAATTCTGTCGTTATTGGCAGTTGAGTTGAGGTACACATTTTTTAAATGTCAAAGTTAAGTGTACGAATATTGAGAAATTAACTGGTACGTGGTAGGCAATTGCAGTGGCAACTGGTGCAACAGATGCAACAGACGCAACAGATGCAACAGATGCAAAGACACTCAAGGCATTGACAATCGTTGAGAACATCGCGGAGAATTCGATACGCAACTTCAAGAAGACAAGCGCTTGGAGCACATAACTGTTTCCAACATTTGAAATACTCGTCTGTGTTCAGGAATTTTTAAATTGATGGATATTTTGAACTATCAGCTTCATTTTTGAAACAACTCTGTTCACGAAAATCAAATTAAGTTTAAAATAATAAATTTTATTCTTCCTCCTTTTCCTTCCTTTGCACCTTTGCAAATCCAACCTGCATCAATAATAAATGTAAGATTGCCATTTTTATTGACAGTTAATTGGCAATTAAGTCACATCAATCTTTTAGCATTAAACAAAACTACTAAGAGAATGTAGAGTAGAAATCACTAAGCTAAATCAACTCGAGGACACCATTCTCAAATGGGTTTCACACAGTCTAGTTCGGTCGTTTCGATAGAAGTTTCTCTAGAGATACCACTTAAAGACCTTTGAGAGAGATAATTGTCTCTAGTTTTGGCATCTAGTAAATAATTGGCGAAAGTCACATATAACATGTAAATTATTCTGGCCTTTGAATCCATATTCGGGAAATTTATTAACAAATAACGAATACATACTGTGGGATTAATTGCAGTTCTTTTAGATCACTAAGACTTCACGCAGAGAAACCACGCCTTCCAATCAATACTTATTGTAAAAGTTGCAAAATCTTGGACGAAGAAGAGACAATTACCCTCTCCTTTGTGGTTTCCCAGCTTTGACAGATCAGATTTTCAGGGAAATACTTCTGTTGAACTATTCATCTGGATGAATTTATATATTTTACTGGAGTTGCTTGCGCAGAATATAATATTAAAGCAACCGTAAAGCTCATAGCTGAGACTGATCCTGAATGCTCACTTTATTTCCGACGAAGGGTTTCCATTTGGTGATCCCGGTTAACATCTTACGACGATCAATTTGCGCTTCAAAATATCAAAACTCAATGTTTATATCAATACTTATCCCTTTAAAATTTTTTCAATTTTTTAGTTCTAGTTTCTTGATCCATATACCTTAACTCAACACTTTTTAACATTTATGTTATGAAGTGCTGTTTTAGTCAAACGGTATAGTTTCTCTTCATCCTCTTTGGTCACTTACCATTATGGGCACCCCTTTCTTTTTAACCTGCAAAGTATTAAGTATAACAAGGCTGCTGGTTCTATTCATCTGAAGTAAGAAGCTGACAAGGTCGTATTTCCAAAAACACATTGCAGAAACCGTGGTGTTGTTGAATCAAAAACACGCTGAAGGTTAAATATTTACGTCACTGAACTGCCTAAGAAATTTAATAAAAATATGCCTTGAAATCTCGATGTAATCCGTGATTATAGGATCATCGCATGTAGTTATCAATGTTCGCTGAACTTCATGAAGGGCGTAGTTGTGAAAATCCGAATCGTCTGGGTGGGTTTATAGCTCAATATTAATCCATTCAAAATGATAACGTCATAGCATCTAATCTTAACAGAAGAGATCCTCCAGTTGTGTTGGCACACGGTACGCTCAATTGAAGATCTACTGATCTACTCACCCGCAAAAGAAGTACGATAACATCATCGATGAGTTTGCAACGCTCACTATTTTGTCGTTGGACTCAGATACCAAGTTTAACAAGAAAAACAATAAAATGAGAATTATAAAGAAGTATTATCTTCTTAAAAAAATACGGCATATTAATTTACTAAGTTATAATTAAAGAAGCCTGCCTAGCAGGATGCTTATTGGTTCTAATCTTATTAGTTTTAAATTAAAAATTTCCATAAATTATATCAAATTACAACTTCAGCGTTAAAGGTTGATATTTTTATGGCGGGTCTTATATAAATAGCTATTTTAATATAATATAAAGGAAAATAATACATTTCACGATATTATAACATATAAATTTGATTAAATCAAAGATGATAAATAAATAATTATTAATAAATGACAAATAATAATAAAGTTAACCAATTTGTAGCAATACTATATATTAATTTTTAATAATTATCTCTGACATTTATAGATTAAACATAGATATTTACAATGATCTATTTATCTATAAAAACGATTTAGTAAAATAATGAACTTATTGTAGGAAATCTTTGCCTATTCAAGAATATAGGATACTGTCTTCCTATATTAAAACTATCTTTGTATATTTATATATGTATATATAGATAAAGGCAGTTTATCTAAAGATAAATTATCTTTGTAAATTTTGGAGTATTATTTTGTGTAAAATAAATTCTATCATAAAGAGCGATACATAGACATATCGTGCTTAGTTGTCACTGATTATAATATTTAATATGTTGATATTGTTCTCTCTGAAATGGGTATCTGCTAATTTAAAAAAACATCTCTTTTACTTTGTTTTATACAAAAATGCTTCGGTCATCTTTATTACACATAATAATACAGTTTTTTTAATATTTATATATATATAATCGTTTTTTTTTTACAATAATTATTACAAAATCATATATAAAACTTAATGAGTATTTGCGATAATGTGTGTGTATGGGTTTATATGTGTGTGTCTAACTTTGATATATTTGAAATATACAAAAAATGAAAGCGCTTAACAATTAGAAAGAGATAGTAAATATATATAATTTAAACAAATTTACAACAAAAAGCTCTAACGAATGTTGATCTTCGAAAGCTTATGGCAAGTGTCGGCATGTTAACGGTTATACAATACCATTGCTGAAACATAAAGAGAGCATGTAAGAGAAACAGAGAGCTTATTGAGCAACTAACAGAAATGTGTATAACAGAAAATCAAAATCAAAATCAAAAGGCAAGTCAAATTGAGCGTGAGAATGCAAGTGAGAGCAAAAGCTCCTTAGCAATGTTATTGCCTAATATTCAAAGCTTTTGAGGCTCATACGAGCAAAGATTGCACGTAAGCATAGAGGTAGAAAAGCAATCAAGAATATTCTAGAGCAAATAAGACTTGAAGCTACTTTTTTATCTCAGCTAAGTGATGAGCAGCTTTCAAGCCTGAAAGCTCTAAATTTAATAAGATTAAAATATTTTAAATATGAATTATTAATAAAAAAGTTATATGAAATTCTTACTAATTGCTTAGAGTTTGTTTATAAAAATTGTATCCTTCAACGTGTGCTCATTCTAATATTTTACAGATCACTTTCAATGCCTAATTTGTGTTTGGACTCTTAAGCTATTTATTGATAACCGCCGAATTTGCCCGATTGAGCGTTGCTATCATAACCACCGCCGCCATTTTTGTAGCTGCCAGAATGTCCTCCATTAGCGCCACCATTTACTTGCTCATAACGAATTGTTGGTCTGTAACCGTGTTGGTCAGCTTCGTAGTCTACGATTTGTTTGCGACCATCAGGCAACAAAACATAATAACGGCCCTGTGTGAAGTCACCATCGCGAGATTCCATGTGACCGAAATCATTGCCGGATTCATAATCTTGCACATCATATTTAAATTCGTATTTTGCTGGTCCGTAATCTTCATCCCGTTTACCATAACCGTTGCCGTTGCCATTGGAGTAACCGCTCGATGCCTGTTGTTTAGGGAAAATAGCCGAGGTTACTGCAGGAGCGCCATATGCGCTTTGTGGTGCAGAGATGGGACCAGAACTTGAAGGTGCTTGATAACTGCTGGCAGGAATTTGGCTGCGCTGAGGTGGCAAGTAGCTGCTGGTAGGTGCTTGGTAGGTTTGTGCGGGTGGTAAGTAGTTGTTAGATGGCTGCTGCGCTTGTTGATTAGGTGGTAGATATTGGTTTTGTGGTACTGGTGGCTCGGCACGGACAAGTGAGACACAGGCCAAAATAGCTATCGTTGCAAAGCACTAAAGTTAGAGAAGAAATAATCAAAATAAGTAAAATTAGAATTAATTCTCGATTAATTACTTTAATTTAATAACTAAAATATGCAAAACAATAAATCATTTAATTATTTAATTTATGTGCACAGTTTCTTCTTAAGATCCAAATTTTCATAAATTAGATACGTTAATGTTGGGATGCTATAGAAAATTAATTTCCTTATCGAAGACAGCATATCTTCTGCGAACAAAACAATTGAAAGTGTTTTTTTCTTTATTCTACAGATTTTTCCATGTCAAATTATGAGATATGAAAGCAATTGCCGGAGCAATTGCCAGGCCAATTGCAACTGCTAAACTAAACTCCCGCTGGCGTACGCTGTCAGAAGAGTCGCTTGGCATCGCAAATCATAATTGAAGGAATTAGCATTTTTATGCCTGATGCTGTGTTTGTTGTTAGCAAATTGGGTTTTGCAATGCGACGTTGCTGCGATGCGCTACGTTGGCAGGTTGATGCGACAATCACTTGACAATGTTGACGCTCGTAAACGCGTACTTTATGGGATCAAATCTTAAGCAATTTGCTTGATATTAATTTCAATGGAAAAATAATTCTCTTGGTAATTAGTTTGCAAATTTTCAATTTTCCTCGCTTAAGCAATTTTTTGATTTTTTTTATTTTTATTATTGTTTCTGTTTTATACTTTGACTTTTGATTTAAATTTTCGCTTTTGTATGTAAATGACAATAGGGTGTGATTATTTATTTATTTAAAATAGTTGAATGAATACATTTTGAAATTTTTCAACCAAAACTTAATTATAAATGAAATTGAAAGCAATATTCTTCAGATTAAATAATGATTAAAAGGAAAACTTCAATTATGGCTTGCTTTCAATTCACGGAATTTATTTAAGTCATATACGAGTATTTACATATAATATTAATGAATTTAATATTAATAGTTATAAAACTCTTTAGCTTAATTTTTATATTATACTAGCTGACCCGGCGAACTTTGTTTCCCCTTGCAATTAATTTTCCTGGCTCAGCTGAGTTATAATATTTGTTGTTATTCAACTTATCCTTTAGCATTTTAATGCGAAAATTATTTTGAATTGATTTTTTCTTTTGATCTACAAATGTCCACATGCATTACTTATGTTTCAAATATTTTCATGTTACATCGGTTGGTATAATTGGTATGCATGGAAGCAATATATTTTCTCCTCTGAATTTTCCACTTAATATTGTTGATTCAATTAAGTTCCCCATAATTCTTTTAATTACTAATCTTATTCCATTAATCTTAAATGCACTTAAGCTATGCAATGGCAGTTTTACGATTCATTTTAGAGATTTCAAACTTTTTAAACAAATCAAAGTAAGCATGAAGAAATTTTAAATTTCTAATATAAATGTATATGGATACCAAAAAATAAAAAATGAATTAAAAAGACATTATCCAGTGGGTCAAATTGTGAATCTAAACCTTCCTTGAATCCACTTGAACATATACAAAAAATTTCATCAAAATCGGCTTAGCCGTTTAGGAGGAGTTCACTGTCAACACACGTACAGAAGAATTATATATATAAGATATAAAATAATAATAACAACAAACTTAAGAGAAATGAAATGATAAGCACTTATACCATACCCTCTCTTCAGCATATTTCTAAATGGAGTTTGTATGGATTTTGTATGGATTTTGTATGAAAAACGGCACTTATTGGTGCATAATTGTCGAGGTAAGTACAATAGTCTAAACATAGCAATAAATTATTATAATCACTGATTAGTCTATGTTTCCGATCACTCAGCTAACAATATCAACTGATATTTGAAATAGAAAATCAATTTAGATTAGATAACTCTGAGAATATGTATGTGGTCTATATAGGAATATAATCACTCACTACATGAAGTAATCTATATTTCTGAAATATTCAATTAAGCAAACCCAAAATTGTCTTGTCTTTACAGTACAAATGAGTTAAAGTTGGATTCATGTAAAAGGGATGAGATCAAACGGAATGGACTAAGTTTAGTCAATATAATATACCTAAAGAGTCTTTTTTAATTGCTTGTGTAATGATGGGGTAATGGGGTTTATCAATGATATATTTTCATTTTTATAAAAATTTTCACTTATATTTATTTTCCTCAAAAATTGCATTAATTTAATAAGTCTTATATAAAGGCTAACTCTGATATATTTCTATATTTCAAATGTGGTCTAACCTATTAGACTTCAATTATATTTAAATTATTCAGTTATATTCATTTTTCTCGACAATTAAGTAAATTTGATTTGTTTTATACAAGAGTTCGTATTACTTGGTTACGATAAGTAAACTATAAATACATTATTGGTTTAATAGGTGGTTGAAATAACTTGAAGAGAATAACAAAAGCAGATTAATTTTTATTAGCATACCTGTACAGATATAATAGGTAGAAATAATATATATACAAAAGATAAATTGATATTGATAAAATAATTGAAAGTATCTATAGGCAGTAACGCAGTTCGATTTCATCAAATGACGTTGCTTAATTGATCCCTAGATGATATTTACTAATATCCCTGAAGGTAAAGTTATTTGGCGTAGCATTGTGTATGCAATTGAAAGTCCAAAAAAATTTTAAAAATTTTCATTAAAACCTCAAGCAGAGTTTCGGTTTTTTAAGCAATACAAAAGGCAACAAATGATTTTAAAATTAAACTAAGAAATTTAATTTTTAATGAAACGCCTATTTCAAAATTTTTTGAATTGAATGAATATTAAACTTACGAGTAAAGTGTTTCATTAAAAGTTCATATTTAAGTTAAAAATTTTAATTCCATTCACAATTCAAACAATTAAAAATTATATTTTAATAATTAGAACAGTTTTACATAAACTAAAAACAATTTATATTAATTAATGATCTTTTATAATTATTATTTAATATATAGCATCAAACATATCTTGAATATAATTGAAGAGTTACCAGTATCTCACATTTATTTATTTTCAAGTATCTACGATTATCTAAGTATCTAAGCAATTGACTTTTATAGGTCAACAAAATTACAGGAACTAATTTATATTTTATATTAAAATCACATAAGTTATGTCTCATTTCTTTATTAAATAATTTAAATTTACAGTAGCCAAAAATTAATTTATGCAGCTGTTTAGAGATAAAAAAGCATAAAAACAAAAGACTTAAGCAACAAACTTGCTGCTAATTGTACATTGTATATTGTATATTGAAATATGTATTTTTATCTTTTATTGCATTTAGTTATGTTTTAAATTTATTTTTGAAGAAATTTCTTAAAATTTATGTAGTGTGAAGTTGAAATAAACATGCATAAAAATAGTTGTTTGGATTTTTTGTAAACATTTTGTTGTGCAAAAGGAAATGAAATTGGCAATATAATTTTTTTTTTCATGAAAATTAAATAACATCTAAATGTAAAATATTTAGAAATTTATGCAAAGTTCATTAAAATTTTAATAAAAAATATTTAATTATTAAAATTGAATTTTATTAAATTTAAATTGAAATGTTAAAAATTATTGACAATGTTTTGGAAATATTATTTATTATAAAATTTACTTGTATAATAATATAATCTAGCTCCATTATATGGAAAGAAATAATTTAATTTTGAAAACAATACAAATTGAATAATTCATTTCAAAAATATTTTTAAATGTTTTTAGATAATATTTAATTATTTTTATCAAATAACTTTTTGTCATACCAACTTTGGTGTATAGAGCTAACTATTCTGCTTCTATTTATAGGTAGATAGAATCGAGATAGAATAGATAGATTTGGAACACAATATTATTTTAAATAGTTTAGTTTTTAATTGATGCAAACATTTATTTGAGGAATGTTAACTTATCTATTCTTTACTCATTATTCTTTTTATGACACATAACTTATATTTTAATAATATAACCAGAATCTATAAAATGCTTTTTTATTTCAAAATTTATGCAAAATTTGAGTTTATCTGTATAAAAATAAAATATTGTCAAATTTATCAATCTCCTATCAATGTTAATTCAGAAGAAATAAATTTAAAATGTATTTAATATGAATTAAACTTTTAATTAGCATAGCTGTTGACATTTATTAAGCAGTTTTTGTATTTTTGATATTAATTTTTAATATATCACTATTATCTCAAATTTCTTTGAACTCGGTTTTTAGTTATATTAAATATTATTTTTCACAAAAAAATAACTTTGAGATGCAAAAACAAGGTGTGAACGTTTATTTCATATAGGAAATATGCATATGGCATTCTTTAAAGAAGTCATCTTAACATTTATGTTAATAGAGATGATTATGAAATGATATAATTAAATATATCGTTTCATAAATGTAAAAATATAAAAGTAAGTTTGATTTAATCTTAATGAAAATTATGAAAGCTCAGTGATATATCCGAAGATATTAGATTGGAATAAATATAGGAAATATAATTGTAATAAAAAATTATTAAAAAGGACTGCTTTTTGACTGTATAAAGTTATCTTAAGTATAAGATAAATGTAAGGATTCAATAGCTTAGAAGTTTCTGTTATTTCTTGCGAAATTTACTTTCAATTTCTTAATAAAATTCGCACAGAACTTTATTAAAACATGATGAATAATCATTAATTACTATAACTTACTTAACAATAACATCAATTTCAAACCGAGAGTTATATATATTCTATATATATTATATAAGATTTTTGAATATATTTACAGTTGAAGATCTTTTATATGAATACGCTATAAGAGTACAGAAGTTTGTGTTTTTTTAAATATTAATATATTAATTATATTATTTATTTAATAAATATATTCCTTCAGTTTTCGCATTATATCTTCATAGTGAAAATATTCAGATTAGATTCAGTTATAAATTATTTTAATTGAAACTATGGTATCTCCAGAGTAATGTAATAACTGCACTTTATCTACTGGACCTATCTTTGGTATCTGTTCTGCGATACATTAAACAATAGGAGAGTGTTGCAATGAAGTTGATGGGGATTGCCAGCTGTTTCTAGTGGCGATCAAATGTGATGCACCCGGAGAAATAAGTATATAGCGTCATTCTATTATACAATACCATTAAATCACAATTCAGAAAATCTTTAGAGTGATATGATATTATATAAGCTAATTCTAGTTTATATACTGAAATTGTGTTCATGTTAGTAATCTGATTTTGTCTATTAAGTGCTGTATTCAATTAAATGTCTACAAAAGCGTTGTAAGCGTTGTAAGCGTTGTAATTCAAGATTTGAAATCTTAAATTAATTAGTGAAAAACTTTATTGGAATTTGAAAAAAAAATTTCCTTTTAAAAAATTATTAAAAGGATTTTTGCTTTAATATTTGAAACATTACCTTAAGCCTTAGCATATAAACAAAAAATAAATTCTAAATGAATTTACTTGTAAATTAATCATCAATACATTATACCTTATTATGAGTATTTATAGAAATCATTTTCTGAAATAATCTTTTGGTTAATTTGTCTAATAAAAAACAATATAGTTGGAAGGATTGTATGAAGGATATATTCAAAATATTTAAAAATTGCAGCTAAGGAACTCTGCAGAAGTCAGAGAAAACTCTATTAGAACTGGAGCTCTAGAGATATCACATTGATTAAATATTGGTTTATGGCAGAATTCACCGTAAGGCCACAGATATTTGTTTCAAGTATATAATAAAATACTTCGTGAAATAAATTATCCAACATTGCTTTTCATTTTTTCAATTCAAGTTGTGTTAATATTAAGTAATCACAGGATCATATATATTCACAGGACTTTTTTTTAACAAATGAACCAATATAATTTTTTGTGCTGATATAATTTTGAAGTAAGCTTAAATGTGCTTTTAGTGACAGAACAAAATCTTGAAAGTGACAACCACTCATTAGAGCTTAGATTAATAGATACAATTCACTTATAAATTTAATTAATTTGGATTGATTGATAAATATACACAAGGATATATTTTTGAACAGAGGAATAATTGAGAATCGATTTAATAAATAGTCACTGGAATAACACTTTAAATATTTTTGTAATATAAATTCCACAAATGTCCTTTGAATTTTATGGTTTATGGTCTTTTCACATTATATATACTCTATATACTTTTTATAAGAAATTATTAGTTACAAAAAAAATTTTAAATATTCTATTATTTGTTCATGTACCTTCATTTTGTATATTCACTTATTAAGGTTTTTGAGTTATCACACACAAAATTCGTTTAACTTATAAAAGTTGTTCTTCTTTCGAAGATGGCTGATATGATTTTGATACTGAAACTATTTTGTAGGCCAGTATTTATATTTGAAATTTGCGTATAAGAGCACAGAGTAACCGAAAAACACAGTAAAATCCAAATTCATATAACAGAAAAAGAAAAAGAAAAAAACCGCGCCAAATTCGAAAATCTTACAAAAAACAAAAAAAAACCAGAAGAGATATAATTTTTAGATGAAAATGTACAAAAACAAAAACAAAAACAAAAAAAACGAAAAGTGAACAACACAAAACCAAATTCAAAAATCAAAATACAGAGTGCAGCACTAATAACTGCTTCAACTTCGACTTCGACTTCGACTTCAGAAACATCAGCTGTGGAGCACATTCACATTCAAGAAGTAACTACTATCTGTAATAGTTCAATTAAAGCAACAACAATAACTACAAATAACTACGAGTACAATGTACCATAAACGGTCTGTTATATTAAACTATTTTGAAACTCAAGTAGGAGATGCACATCTTGGAGAAGAGCAGAAAACGCTCGTATTTGCGAGGTGAGTGCTGCTTTATGGTACTATAGAAAAAATATGCTGAATGCTTTTATGATTCCATTCAAAAATCCAATTCACAAAATAAGCACAAAGCCACAAATAACAAATGAGCAACGCGGGAGTAATCAAATTGTATCTGTAAGATGTCTTATGCCCGTGTCAAGTTTTGCCACACATGCAACCGCAAGATATACCCAAGTGCACTTGTTGATGACTTCCATGTGCTACACTTTTTGTATGAGTCTTTTGCACTCTCGGTAATTAAAACTCTCGGTAATAGCATCTTACAACAAAGGTTCTTTTTTACCCATAAATCGAATTTGCATCGAATACTCGTATATATGGTAGCGATGTATTTAGATATCGTGAGTAGGTGATATACACACCAACAAATACAATATTTATATATGTTCACTTAGTGTGTTTTTTATGTTATGTTAAGCCTTTTCCGAGTTAGTGCATCTGAGCACTTTTACTCTAAGATAGCTGCAGAGGGGGGTTTCTGCAGAGTCCCACCCATCTCACTGACTAATTTATGTATTCCTCATAAGCTTCATAATTATTCAATGACTGATCTAAGATCTGCATACAGTTAGTGATTACTCTGAGATTAGATAGTGCTAAGTAAGGCAGCCTGTCGATTTTCGCATATAGCTTTAGAGCTCTGTCCCTTATGTATTATTTGACCGAATCTATTCCAAGGTCTCTTAGCATGTCATTCGTGCGGATGTGTTTTTTGTTTCAAATAATTATTTTAGACTATGGTTTAATAAGATACAGAAAGTAATTTTTTTACATATACCTTATTGCAGAAGTTTTGAGCTCCTATATTAAATGAAATAATATTTACAGCGGCTAGGATAAGAGCGAGTCTGCTACAGACCCTACATACAACGGCAATATCTTAATTTATAACTTATTCAATGGATATCTACATCACTATAACAAATTAATAGTTTTCCTAAATCCGCAAAGAAGGGGTTTTCCAAGAATTGTAGCACCGCATTTTGCTAGTGCTAGATAACTGCAGAATAGGTAATAGCTTGAAAGTACTTCTTCATGTACTTTCATATATATGTACTTTATATATATATCATGTACTTTATATAAATAATAAGTTGGTTATATGTTACTATAGTTCCAGATTGGTTTATTGATGGCAAGATTGTCTGTGCGTTCATTTCAATATATGATGCTATGGTTATTAGTCAATATGTCTTAGTATCTAGATGATGGATAGATCGTTGTGTTTACCACTTTCGTTTAATGATAAGACAGTATAAGACAGGATGACATATTGTGTTTACTAATCTCATTTAGATATACAACAAAACAGTCCTTAGAAACATATGTCCTTAGATTTAATATATGAAACATATCATGCTACAGAATATCGCAGTTTCTCATATATGTCTTTCTAACAATAATTATTCCAATGGATACTTTAAATGATATCACTTTCGCTACACAGTGATGCCTCATGTGTATTCATCATGACTGCTATATAGTTTAAAGCATTCTGTTGAAATTTTATGTTTAGCATGAAGTTGCAATAAATTTATTTTGTGATGCTGCATAACATCACTTGGTATCACTTCATCATTTGTTAAAGTATATCATTAAAGTTTTTTTTTAAAATTGAATCCATGGGCTTAAAAATTTTCGAGTTTTGAAACATACTTAGTTTTTGTAAAAATGAAAGATACTATCTATAAGATACATACATAAAGTATATATGGTTTAGTATAAGTATCTTATAGATAGTATATTATAATATACTATAATATTAGTTAGTATTATATTATATTATAGTATTATATTATACTATTATTAATTCTTCTAATCGTCTATACTTAATGTGTACTGATGCTTTTTCTCATAGGAGTTGGTTAAAAATATCTTAACTTTATTGATTGGAAAAAGAATTTTCTTTAAGGAAATCATATTTTTCAATGGTTGGATCTGGAGGATTACAGTTTTCATAAGTTACGAAAATACAGCTCCTCTTCGTTCACCATTACTTATACCATTGGATAATTTGTTGTTGTTATCAAAAATTTTACAATTATATAGTGGAGCGGTAAAATAGTTTCAGACTTTAAACTAAAACCGCACAAGCGTTTATGTTGCCTTTAGCTTTTGTATGCCTCCAACTTCATTGTGGAGTGAGCGACTGAGTACGTGAAACCAAATTCATTCAGAGGTGAGCGTCGAAGTTCGCATCTTTAAGTAACAACCACGCACACATCATTTTTTTGAATTGAAAAGAAAAGAGATTCGTGTTAGATGCGATGGTTTGCTAAAAATTTAATAAAATTAATCATTTCAAAAATCTTCTTCTGCATACATACATCTACTACTGCGACTATTGCTTCAGAGAGTGAGCAGATTTGGTTCACATCTTTTTATTGTTTTCAGCTAGAAACTAAACAAATTCTTATAGCGATTTCTGATTCAGTACTGACTCAACAACCATCAAATAAACATCTCCTACAACGTATTACTCTGCTTAAACCCTATAAACGGAACGGATTGCAAGCATTTTCATTTAAGAATATATTTTACTATATTTACTATCATTGATGTTGATAGAAGATAAAGAAATATGTGAGAAGTGTTTGCTTAAAACTATTTAATGGTATATATCTTAATATTTAAAATAATGCAGATTTAGAGCAAAAAGTGTGTTGGATAGAAATTGTGTCAAAGGATTGCTGTTCTTAGGTTAGGTATTAAAATATCTCCAAAGATATAAACTATCTTGTCTTTAAAAAGACTTTTCTGCAATTATCTACCAATAGTTGTCTGAAAAAAATAGCTCTACAGAAAATATACGATATGTGTGTCAAATATACGAAAAAAATCAAAGTTTGTATTTGGCTTTGCTGAGACTATTTATTATTGACTAATTATAAAAACGATTATTAATATAACCATTAATATTAATATTAACATTCTGTAGCCTATGAGTAATATGAGTAATAGTAAATGACAACCATACACAGTACCTGAATAATCGCATGTTAGTATAATGCGAGTTATGCTAACTAACTCTATAAAGTTATGAGTATAAAGCGATCATAAACTTTAACGAATTTCTCAGAAATACATAAAGGATGGTTTACTAAAACTATGGATTATACATTTTCATTAAAATTATTATATAAAATATATTGCTTAGTTAATTGTCTATGCATTTTATAGAAGTAATTATAATAGTGATAAGTGCTTTAATAGTTTGGTTGGTTAGTTACTACTTTATTTCAACTTAAAGATTTAAAATTACTTAGATCGTTGCTATTCCTTTCGAATATATTCCTAACAGAATTATCTCTCTACAAATATTTAATTGTATCTTAACAAAATAATATATATTTCAACTTCTCCATATCAAGTTTATATGTATTGAAGCTGTAAATTCCTCAATAATATAAACCACATCGGTGCAAACTTAAACATATATACGTATAATATAAATTATTCACATATTTATATCTTTTTTACGTTTATGTACTAAGTATATTTTCTAATAAAATATAATAGTTTGAAATTTAATATTTCTCATTACACCATCAAGTAGATTTTAAAAGTATTTTATTTAAAATTAATAATAGCAATAAAATTAATATTAGTGAATTTTTTTATTTTTAAATAAATTACCATACTTAAACATCTGATATTTGTTAATAGATGATAAAAAAAACACATAATCTTTAGCTGCCAAAATCGGTAAACCCATGGTAGGTAGCCAGTCTTATAGCAGGCATCATCGGCTGTTAGTTCTGGCGTAATACCGAAGGTTATAAGTTTATTTATACTCGTATTTAGGAAATCAATATAATACGAGCAAAATAATTTCACAAAATTTCTCTGCAATATGAATGAATAATGCTTTTATATATCTTGTGTAAAATCTACTCTTATACAATAACACAACACACCACTTAGGTCACTGTGAACTACTTTTCTCTCCAAGAATACTATTTTGATACAAATTTTCGTCATCAGGACTTAAGTTAAGTTAGAACGATTCAGTACAATCTTGCGCTGTTTTAATACAATTTATATTTAAAAGTTTTCTATAACTTCGTCAATACAATACATATACTGTAACTTTCAGATATGTACCATATAATGGGTGTTTAACAGTGAATAGTACAATGTATTATTGGACTAATGTACATCTTTACCTATCTTTGTATAATTTAATTTAATTCTATTCAATCCTGTCTACGTAAAAGGTTACCTTACTTCAGGATGTTAGAGTGAATTATAACGGTGTTTCTAGAAATTAACATTGACCTATAGTTCCATTGTGTAAGCGTACAAATGGATGGATTTAAACTTATCTGGAAGCATTAATAAAGCGTAGGATGTTTTGAGGAGAGGTCTTATAGTTGTGAGTGCTTTGCATTTTTAATCTTCGTTGACATCATGAATCTACGGTTTAGAATAATAAAAAAAAGTATTTTACTAGAATAACTACAGTGAATATTGGTCC